AAACAAATAGTAGACATGTTTTCTTTCTTTACACACCTAATGTAATTATTCTCTTAAATTAAAAGATGCAATGTTTAATATAGAATATAGCATACACAATACCAGGGAAGAGTCAAGTATTTCTTTTTGTTTGGTTACACACTGTTTATTCATTCTGATACTTACAGCAAATACTCATAATGTTCTAAACACTGAGCTGCTGTACGTCCAATAATGGGAGCTATGGTTCGCCACTGCGTAGGCATCAACTTTGCCAGGTGAAGAAGTTTCTCTTCTTCCTCTCTTGTCCACTCAGTTTTCTTAATGCTAGGATCCAACCACTCATACCTTCAAACAAACAAAAACACTGAGTATTAGGAAACTAAACAACAAACTTTGTTATATTTAAGTCTCATTTAATAGGAGGTGTTTACACAAGTTCCTGCAAGCAAAATTTTAAATGAACAAACTAGTTACTGTGTTAAGCAAAGATAAAGACCTTAACATGTCAACAATTTATCATTAAGCACTAACTTACTTTTTATTTTGATATAAATACCAAAATGAAAAACTTGTTTTCAAGAAATTAAAAGCATTTATTCCAAAGAATTATTAAAATGGTACATCTATGCCAGACGTATACAAATCATCATTTTCCAGTTTTTGTTCTGATTTTCCTATTTCATCCTAGTGCATTATCTGTTACCACTGAAGTTTTCTACTTATTGTGATATATCTTTTTAAAATTTTAGTTAGTCACATAAAATTAAACTGCAATGCATGTACACTAATCACATGATATTAATTTATTACAGTAGTATATATCGACTTCCGGTTATGCTGAAAGTACTTACTATAATGCATTGTCTAAATGTCTAAAACTTATTGGATTTCTAGTTGTATGGCTAGAAAGCAAACATCTTTTAAATGCACATTTTTTTTTGTTATTTGAAAACATAAAATTAGTTTCCATAGATACATTTATCAGCTTCAGTTTGATTTCCACCTGCATGCTACACTCTTCAATGCTAAAGGAGGAGTGATAAGATCAATGATGAAAAGCTGGTGTTCAATTACTATCTCAGTGAAATAATAAAAAAAAAGACCAAATCATTCAACATTAGTTTCAATGTGTTTGACAGAAACTTAGAGGGTGGTGTTGGATATAAAATTATTTTTTCCATACCATACCTATAAAAAGTCATTGTAGTACCTTTGACCACTACCAATAATTTCATGTAGTAAGTGACTGCGTAAGAATACTTTGGTTTTACAGTTTTGTTTTTGAAAACCAAAAATAAAATCCACTACTTAAAAAAGTAACAAACGGTTGCTCATAATTAAACATACTGCCAAATCTACAGTTTCAAGTGTTCAAACTAGTGTTTAACTAGTGTTTATTATGACGTAGCAAAATATCTAAGCAATACAAATTGAGGATGGGTCAAAGTCATCAAACATATGTGAGCATAATGAGGCAAAACAATAACAGTACTGTGAATATGATGTAAGAGAAGAATTTGACTATTTATTACATGTGTTTATGTAAATAAGGATGCCTTTTAAGTCATAATGGTCAGAGTTTTCAAGAACTTTGTTTCTAGAAGGTTGAAAACATTTTAGGAGGCCAATGCTAAGATGAGAGTATGGCATGTGAGCAACAAAAGGGTGAAGCCCTTCTATGGGATAAATATTTTAAACATTAGATGCAAAATTCTGCATTCTGAACACTTTTTATGGCTTTTTTGAGTCGAATATTTCCATGCCAAAATGTCACTTTCTTCTCTAGACCACTGACTATTTATTGGTTTAGATGCATTCTGAAAGGTTCATTAGAAGTGACAAACTATACATCTTGTATGATACAATGTTATTTTGCACAAAACTCAAATACATATCCAAACATGCATGATCAGAAAGCAACAGGTCATAAAAAAAATAGCATTTAATTTTTATAAGCTCAGGTTATTTTACTTGGAAGCTGGAATAAATAAAAGGTGTTCTTGACTGTTTCAGGGACATATAACAGTCTTCCTTATGACAAGGAGTATTACATATGCCAATATCATTATGCCTTCTTGTACATGAATGCTGCAGAGTTACTGAACAAAATTTGCTAATTACACACATCTTTTACGTACCTTACAGCATGAGATGATAGATATTAATACACATTTAAAAGGTATTTGAAGTAATGATTATTACCTCTAAAACATGAAGTGCTATGAAACAAGATATCAAGATACCAAGAAAAATGCTGAATACAAAGTACAGTACTTCAAGCATTTTAAGATGATTGCCAGAATCAGCATCAGAAATTTATACGTCACACCTTAAAGGTTGAAGTTTTGATTTGAATTTCATAATGTAATTGTTTTCGTTATACCAAAAATGGGCTCCAATAATGCATGTCCTTCACTAATAGAGCTAAAAATAGGCAGAAGCAGGTTGTTGGGTATATATTTTGTTACAGGTATAGCTCAAAATAAGCTCAACTGCCCTTGGCATGCATGAAAAAATGAAACACTGGGGAAGAATTCAAACTGTTTTCATCAGCTTCAGTCAGAAGAAACCTGTGACAAAATGTCAAACCCTTTTATCTTAATTTTTTTCTTCTTTTTGTTTTTTGGCTCCATGCTGCAACTTGATCATGATTAAGCAAAAATTTGCAAGAAAAACACATTTACCTAAACAAGATTACTCTTTCACTGACCAGTGAAATTCCTAGTTTAAATTGGAATAAAGATCATGCCAAATTTGCATCAATTTCAGCACATAAATGTAATTACCTGAATCCTCAGTACACAATTTCTGTTGTTAATTAACAACTGCAGAAGAAACTGTTTTTAATTACATCATTTCATATTTAACTGAAATTACCCGTGCTTCTTCGTGAAAAATCAATTACATAATACAAAGTCTTGAACAGAAATAAATGAACTATTCTGAAAATTATAAATTGAGAATAATCTTGAACCCTGCATGCCAGTTTCAACTCGATAATCTACAAAGAATGGGACAGAGTCAAAACTACAATGCAGGTACCAAATGAAATTGTTACTGTTTTTAAAATAGGAATTTATGTTTTTAGTAGAAACTTGATAATTTTTTTTTCTTTTTACAGAAATTCTTGTTTTACTGATTTTATTTTTGGAATTTTGGAATTTAAACTGACCCAGACATGTCTTGCACCAGTCATTTCAGCTGCCAGACAGTTCTTAATGAAAACCCTAAATGTTCCATCAGAATGACTATTTTATTTTTGCTTATAGTTACAATGGTCAAACATATTAAAATAACTTATCTTATTTACAAGTCAAAATGTTTTGACCACTGAACCAAATTGGATTAAAATTTTAAAAACAACAAAAAACACTTTGTACATATGTATACACTCACTAGAAAAAACTCGGCATAAACATTTTGCTTGAGCTTATCATATGTTACATAGCATGTACACAGTGCCAGCTCAAGTTCAAAAATTGAAGGGTGTAAAAATAAAAAACTGCACCCTTTTCAGGTTTTTATATATTTTTCTGTACTTTAAAAAATTTTAAGTAAGTTTTTAAATTCAGAATAGAGAGTACAAAAATATTACATCGTAGAAAAATACATATAAAAAAACAAAGATTAGTCTTTAGAAAATGAAACTTTACGAGCTTTTAAGATGGCAAAGCTTTTCCTTAATTTGACCATATTAATTTCTCTGACCATTTCATTTTCTATAGAAATTATTGCCAGACCATTTAATCTCTCTTGTCCTATTGTGGAATGCAAGAATGTTTTTATTAATTCTAGTCTCTTTCGGCACTTTCCACACTAGCAGGCAAACTTAATAAAATTCTTAGAGCAATAAACATATTTGGAAAAATTTCTTTAATTTGATTTTCACAGTATTGAATTTGCCAGTATGTAATGTGATATTAATTTAAATTCTACACACAAACTTTCACCATAAATATCCCACTTCTCTTTGCTTGTAAGAAATTTTCCAAAATGTTTACAATATTTACCCTCCCACCCCCCATATAAAATTTTGCAGTGGGTTCTTTGAGCTGGCTCTGCATATATATGTATATGCATGTTATACATACCATCTGGCTTTACACTGCTTTGCTGATTTCCTGTGAAGCAAAGAAGCAATTCGTGACCATTGGTTTTTTCCATATTTCATAACAGCCGCCTTAAGGATTTCATCCTTTAAAAAAATGAAAGAAAAAATTAATTCTCAATTCAACAAGTACAATTAAATGAAATACATTTTTTGAGACGTTAAAATTTATATGAAGATGTATCTTTAAGTAAGTGATTATGACATTTTTAAAATACTATAAAAATATATGAAACAAAAGTAAACAATATTTCTGTTGTAAGCAATATAGTTTGGTTAACATGCATCTTAAGTGAAAGTAGATCAATCAGTCTATTGACATCACCTTCCAAATATAGAAGTTAAACCTAACTATATACAACCTTGAATATTTTACACATGTAACTATCAAAAATTATAGTAATCCACACTATTAGCATACAATTATAATTCAAAGTATTTAGATGAGTTGAGAATTTCAAGACATAAATAGGTTTACAAAACTTACTTATTATTTCTGATATTGAAGTCACCATCATATCTTTTGTCATTCACAAACTAGACTTCTTAAATGAAACCTACTCATGCCATTAAAAACTTTGAACATATGAATCAAATCACTTGTTTTTCTACTCTTCTGCAAACACAAGAGCAACTGTTAATACTTGTTTTAATGATAGAAATTCAAGGAATAAAAAATATTTACTACAATCAAGAGACCAAGACTACACATACTGCTCTAATAAATCATGCTCAAAACTGAAGTTCTTTTTCACAAAAAGTATGTGACCATATATTTTCTTTCAGCATACTTTCCACAGTGACAAGATGGGTTCAGACTTATCTTCAGAACAGTAGTCATTGGTCAGTCTGAAAATGCTGAACACTATCAAAGTGTGTGAGCAAACAGTTAACTACTTCTTTAAGTATGGCCTCCTCTATAACACCATCAAATTAATGAGCCAAAAAATTATAATAATACTTTAAAAACCATCTTATGTTGATAGATTCATCTGCACGTGTATTTCTACATGAGCTTACAACGTAAACACAATATTTAGTTCAACTAGCACAATATGTAAATTCTCTTAATGAGTGAACAGTAGTTCTGGAAAGTAGCTAGTTATCTTTGCCATGGACACCTTAATTTACACTCAGGATATCACTATTAATGCTACTTCATGTAGTTCAAATAACATTTCTTTGGTAGTATTTTCATGCTGTTATGATGGTCTTCATTTTATCTTGAATGATCCAGGCTTGAATCTAAATCTTGTCAGGTTTTCACTTGATGACCATAAAGTAATTTGTCTTTAAGTTTCGTACCAAATACCTTGTCTCAGGAACATTTAGAGAATTACATGTAGATCATTATCATAATGGTTTTGTTTTTAACTGATCTTAGGTGTTCACGACGTTCTTTTGAAAAGCAATTTCATGTCTTTAAACATCTTTAGATGATGATAACAGTAGGTTGCTTATCTTTGTAATAAGTACTAGTATTCTTGTAGACATATTTTCTCATCTCACTGATATTATGTAAATTTATGATCAATTTTCTAATATCATTATTGCCACACCAAATTCAATGACAAAACCTTCTCAAGATAAAAGACTGTGCAAATATTTAAACTTGTAGGAAAATGAACCAAAATTGTTAAGATCCATAAATGGAAATGTGTTCGAGTTTCACTGGAACATCCATCATGAATATGTATGCTTTGCTCATGGTGAAATAAATTATGTTAAAAAACACATCAGCCATTTAGTTAATAAATTGGGATTAAAAACATTTGATTCATCAAAGTCAGTATCTCAGGATCAATGAAGAAACAAGTTACGATGTGAAGTTACAGCAGCAGAAACAGAATTTTTTATCAATGTATTTATTGTTCAAATGACCTTGTTTACAAAATAAGTTTTGAAAAACTACCATAATATCAGTGCATTGCAAAAAAGCTAAAAGAATAAGAATGTTACAAGTGTACTTGCACCATATATAGTATTGAGCAAATTGTATAAGAAGTTAAAGCAACAAATTCTTTCGTTTCACAACACATGCTTCAAATCACAAAACATAGAAAATGTTTCCCCTATACATACCTTATTTGATCCCAGTGAGGGCATTAAAATGAACCTCCTAAATTTCTATGAAAGTCTCAGTGAAACCTCACAAAGTAATGTACGAAAAAATTTAGCAACAACTAAATGTAATGGATTTAACATCCGTGAAATTACCATTGCAAATAAGTTGTTTCATTTTAAACTGAAGTCTTATAGATACTAACTCTCCTATTGAAAGATTCTAATACTTTGTGGAATGCATATGTAAACCAATACTATATCATGTTTCTGTATAATGGTCAAACAATAAGTAATACTACAAAACTAGATAACATTCTATATTTCCATAGCATAACAGAAACACCTAAACTGATCAAAATTACTGCAGCAAAGAAGTGGAATCTGACCTGTTGTTTGTTTCTAGCTGGGACAAACGATTTTAACACAGCTATCAAATATCTTTGAAGATGTTAAATTATCTTTATAAGTGTAGGGGATAAGTTGTCTCACTGGATAAAAAAGCAGAAGGTTGGTAAAAATGGGTTAATATCATATGTGAAGTACTTCAGGGCTCAGTGTTAAGACCTGAGCTCTTTTTGATTTACCTCACTGACATAAATTACAGAATGGATAATAAGCTACTTAAATGTGCTGATTATATTATAGTACTGGGTGTTGCTGGCTGTGAATAGGATGCTGCTGCTTTATAAAAAAATTTAGATTACTTGGTGAATTGGACACATAAACAACAGATAGTTTTTAATTACAAAATAGTAAGATAGTGTATGTGGGTTATCATAATTTACACTACAAGTATATTTTGATGGAAATAGCCTAAACAGTGTTATGGAAGAAAAGGATCATCATGTTCTGGTTGATAAATCTCTTAACCCATCCAAGCAATGTCTTCTTGCTATTGGTAAGGCAAGTATGATTTTAGGTTGTATCTGCAGAATTACTGAATACAAGATTAGGAAGGTTATAATCTTATTGTATAGATCATTGGTTAGGCCATATCTGGAATATTGGGATCCTTACCCAAGGAAGGACATTCAGTTTTTGGAAAGGGTTCAGAGGAGGGATACTAGGATGATAGCTGGGATGGAATGGTTGTTATACAAGGACAAATTGTGATCTCTGAAGTTGTTTTATCATTATTCATGGCAATTGTTTTTCTTTTTTTACTGCTATCCTTTTGATGCATCATCTCTTTTCTTATTTGATGGTAAGAATGGTAAGACTAGTAAACACAAATACAAATTTTGTCACGGTAGGAGTCATTTTCAGCTAGAACAGTTTTATTTTTCTCTACTTGGGTTATTGGACCTTTGAATGGTTTGCATTCAGATGTGGCAGATGCATTTAATTTAAGGGAGCTTACATGATGGCTTGTTAAGTATTTACATGATAAGGACTAGCTTTGATTTTTTTACTAATTTAGTTTAGTGGATGGGATAGTCTAGATTGACCGAGTCCCTTGTTGTCTTTGAACATTACGTTAAGAATCCCAATCAGTGGAAAAAACTTAAAGTTTAGAATAATACTGTGGATTTTCCATAGTTAATAACTTAAAGGAATTTGCAACTAAGCCACTGCTATGAAGTGTCAAGATGGTACTCAAATCTTTAATCCATCAATCTACTGAAGATTCTTAAACTTTAGAGTTACCATTTATGCAGTTTAAATAATGTATTTGATAAAGATTCTGTATTCCAAGAATACATAATACTGAAGCAGCACTTCATGGAATTAATTCAATAAGTGAAGAACTAATTGCAGTAGAGCTAAAAGATAAAACAAATCTTCTAGACTGAACATATGATGCTTCATAAGAACTGAGGACAATGACGATCTCACTAATGTTATCAAAAGCAATAAAAATTCTTATATGTTTTCAAAGTTCTAAATCAATGCTATGAAAATATTAAATAAATGTTTTGATAACTCATAGTGGAAATCTTGTTGTAAGTTTAGCGTTATTCCAGCAAAACCCATCATACTTAAATTAAACTACATTTTATCTTTAGAAGGAATCTTCATCATACATTAAATGTTTACAAGAGATGAATTAAACAATTTAGAAAGGTCTACAACTGATACAGTGAAACTGATAGTGCAAACTGGCAACTATCAACTCAAAGTACGAAAATCTATAGATATTCTTTTAATAATAATAAAACAACCACTCACCTCAGTGTTCCTCCAAACACCACCTTTTATCATTATTCGTGGCATTTTTCTTATTTCACTGCTTTCCTTTCCTCAAAATGAAAACAATCTTAAGATCTTATTATATAATATACTCACACACACACATATATATACATATATCGTATTGCTTAGGTTAGGCCTAACACCGACTACTACTACCCGAACAAACTACCTATCAGAAAATAAAATGGTGGTATGTTAAAATTGTATAAAAATGACGAATTATAAAACCGAATTTAAAAATAACGCAAAATTGTTGTCTCAATCATTTACTGAAAATTAAAATAATAAAATAAATCTCAGTTTTAGTCCCATTTTAGCCTGTAAAAGAGCTATATTCAAATTGTTTAGAAAATTATAATTTATTTGTTAAGTTTTTATCTCATTTTCTCAAAATTTCCGCTACCAGAGTACTTTCGATTTCCTTACATTATAAATATCTGAATATTTATTTAGTTTTAATAAAGTTGAAATTTATGCTGTCTAGTAAAAATTATATCATATACAATCGTGGTGGAAAGGATTTTATCAGAACTATAAGTTGACATTGTTTGGCGTGATGTCAGTCAAAATTGGTCACTTCTGGGAAGCGTATGTAATAACCCTTTCTATTGCAAGATATTCATATATCCAGATCATAAAGATGTGTCAACAATGAAAATTTATAATTTCTAAGATGAGGGCATCTTTTGTAATTCATGACATTAAAAAATAAATGAATATGAATCAACTCCGGAACCCAGGACCATCTACAAAAAGACCTTCAACATGTATTCCAGACATGATAACTGAACTCATAGGGAAAATATTAAATGTCTCCAATTTTACTCATTCCCTTTTTGGCCTAATGCCTATTTCAGCATTTTCGTTCGGTTTGTGAGATAGCGAATTCTACTTTTATTCTGTTATAGTTTTGTTTACTGTTCATTTATTATTCCTTCTATCGTTTAGTTCAACTATGAAGTTTTAGTTACCGTATTTTTCGGTGTATAAGACGTACT